CCCTATTCAGTAAGTGAAAATAAAATAAACAATAAAAGGTGAATCAAATGGACCATTACGGCAAGGCTGGGATGGTCAATTTGGTAAAGTAAATCCGTTGGGCATCTTTCTTTGCCTTTAGACAACAATTCTGATGGCAAAAGAGCCAAACGGGACAGGCAAAAAAAAAAAAAAAAAAAAAAAATATGTGTTACTGCATTATGAAACATGCAAAAGTAAAAGTATGGGAAAAAAAGTGCTCCTAACAGACTTTGGTGTCAAATCGTCAAACAGTGTGTGCTTTCACTGCAACTGCAATCAGTGATAAAAAGATTTTTTTTAATTTTATTATTATTATTATTAATGATGCCCATCAGACAAGTGAATAAAATAGGTTTGGCTTATCTCTTGGTACGCCCACCTCTATTCTAAGTGCAACTGCAGTTTGAGTAATAACATAGACTGTATATAAAAGATGGAAACAGCCACCATGACACCACACAGTGGTTTCTGCCCTGTGCATTTTGGCCACTCCCGTGTTGGTTTTGTGGAGCTAAAAGTAAACATATTTGCATGAGAGCATAAAGTACTAATGTTATTACATACATGCATGGTAAGCAAGTCAATGCAACACAGAGACACATACTTATTGTAGCTCACTTTTCACAGTCCTCTCTCAGTCCTCTATAGCCTGTCTCTGATTGGTGCAGAACACAGCAGAAAGGCTGACGCTCACAAACAACAACTGTTCCTGCTTCCTTTCACCTGGGGCCTGTTCTTCGTACGTCGCTTACTACATCCAAGATCAAATGACACATCCAAGATCAAACTCATCGCGCTAACCGTGAGCTCGCTAATCCGGTTCCCCGAACACACCTGCTGTTGACGATTACTACAGCTGGATGAAGTAATGCGGCGATCACTGGGTGTCGTAAAAGGGGCTACGCATCGATAGTAGAAACATTGATCGGCAACCCGCTGATTGGTCGGCGAAAATGTCGAAGGGGCGTGCTCGGTATTTTCCGGCAGCAGAGCAAGAACTCATGAGTGAGGGATTTCAGGAGTTTCAGAGTTTAATTAAAACGCAAGAGAACACTGCAAAGGCTGCAAAAGCAAGGAGAGAGGGCTGGCAGAAAGTTGCTGACAAATCAAACTCGTAGGTAATTTAATAATAATAATAATAATGGATTGGGTTTATATAGCGCTCTCCAAGGCACCCAAAGCGCTTTACGATACCACTATTCATTCACTCCCACATTCACACACTGGTGGAGGCAGCTACGGTTGTAGCCAGGCTGCCCATATCGCGCCATCGGCCCCTCTGGCCAACACCAGTAGGCGGTAGGGTAGATCTATCATATGACACTATATTGTCCAATATCATATGGCATTATATTATATCATAATATGTTATATTATATCCCCTTTCACATTAGAGCCACAACAGGACCCACAAGAACATGGGAACAAGTAAAAGTGGAATACAGGAGTATTCTACAGAATGGTAATATTTATCTCTTAGATTGCTTTTCGTCTCTTGGCAAGGTAATACTGGCCTGTAATACTCTGTTAGTTTGTTCATAACAGCAACCAAGAAAAGGGCAGAGGAAAAAAAGACAGGTGGTGGTCCTGCACCCCCTCGTCAACAAGTTGGTTAAGTAAATAATACCCTCACGGGAATATCGATATCTCTCAATGAGCACACTGTCGCGCTGAGCTAAAGGATCCTGTCTAGTCCCGCAATATACGCTGAATTCTGAGGACTCTCCTTATCAATCTTGCACCTTCCGCAATGGGTGCTCGCGTATACGGACAGGCTTCCCAAATCCACCTTCGCTTTTATAGCCGTGGTCTCTCATCTTGATTACACGAAGTAATTTACAATTACTACTCTGAAATATGAATTACATCTGTAATAATCACATACATGTAATAGAATGTTAATAGTTCATTTCCCTTTTTTAGGAAATGACCTGTATGTATCTGTGTGACATCAATACAAGGATCAAGTGCTGCATTGTCTTTAGTTACATTGATGTTATTTATTTATGGTGAAACAGTGGTGGAATATCGCTGTTGCTTTCGTATAAATGAAGCGGACATACCTGCGTGGCCGCGATCTAATCCTGTTTACATAAAGTAAACCTGCTCCCGAGCAGGTTTACGCTTACGGCTCTGTTGCTATGACAGCAAGTCCCGGATGAGCTTCGGGGAACCGAACGATCCAGGATCACGCGAAATCGTCAACAATCTAATCCAGCTAACTTACTTAGCGAGGTACGAAGAACGGGCCCCTGATCTCATTGAAATTCAGAGTCCACTTTAAAATCCTATTACTAACATATTGCCTATATTGCAGAGCCACTGCTCAGATCATCTGATCAAGATCTTTTGATTGTTCCATGCTCTGATTTTAAAACCAGAGGTGATCGCACCTTAGAGGTGGTAGCGCCTGAACTTTGAAACATCCTTCCTCAGCCTGTCAGGTCGTCTGAATCTGTCATTTGTTTCAACCAACTTCTGAAAACTCTTTTCATGGTTTAGCTTTCCTTTAATCTGTCCCCCATTATTTGGGGCCATAGTCTACACCTATTTGTGCATATGTAGGAATAAGGTGTAACATGTATACATATCTTTATGTGTGGCTTTAACTGAAATTGTGAAGTACTTTGTAATGTGTAATGTTTTTTTGCTATACAAATAAACACAGAAGTAAAGGACTAGGCAGTAGAAAGCAGCATTATTTTTCAAATATTTCCAATAATGCTCCAAAAGGCACCAACAGTCCAGAGGTTCAGTTTTATTCTAATTAGCAGTGATTAGCAGGTAGCAGTTGACCATGTTGATCAGCAACCATGGCCCTAATTTTAAAGCAATAATGTTTTTGTACCAGGTTGGAAACATGCTTATTTCTGCTTATTTCAGCCTCTATTGGCCACCACAGGACCTGCTTTTTGTCTTGATTTGTTAGACCTGGAGTTTCCTGCTGATTATTTCTAATTCTAATTCAAAACTGCTCTAATGCTTCTATACTTAATGTGTTAGTGTTTCTTGGTGAATTAATCCAGGCCACCCTACTTTCCGGAGATCCCCAAGAAGTCCAGCTCTTTTCAGTTTAGTGTGAAACCCCCCACTGGAATGACAGAACAGATGTCTCCTTGGTGTTTCTGTAACCTGTGTCCTGGCCTCTAGTTACATAACTTCTCCTGCTGACCACAGCAGCATGTCTCTGAGCTGCAAACTGCATGTGACACTCTGTCTCTGAGTTACCAATGTGTAACGTTACATCTGTCCCCTGATACATGTCAGCAGGTATCCCTGGAGTTTAGAGGCTAGCTGTTAAATGATTACCTCTAGGTCATGTTTCAGGTTTATATGAGCTCCATCAGTTAGTGGGTCAGGCCACGTCTGCAGCCGCTGCTTAATAATTAAACAATGTAAAACATAGGGAGGGAAAAAAAGATAAAGCAATGAATTTCATTACTTGACAAAAAAAGAAAAAAATGACTTGTTTGATGTGCTGTTTCACTGTACTATCAAAGTAAAGCTCTTCTCAGACATGGATTACATGGCGGTCTGCTAAAGTGAGACCGCCTGTCAGACACGGGCCACTCAGAAATGACAGTTTCTCATGGCTTTGATGTATCGTAACATGACTGCCTCATTTTGATACTTTAATTACTAGAGATGCCACATCCTGAAAACCATTATTGAAATGGAGTCATACACTGAAGGTCAGTCAGTGGATCAACTCTCATTACACTGGAGAAAACAGGTAACAGCTCACCTGTCTGAACTGAAGTAGTCAACGCGATTTGCTGTGGGAGACATTAATGAAGAGATATTTCTGCTGTGAATTTTTTATTTTTTTATTTTTAGAAAGGCCTGTGTCCACCACTGCCAACTTCAAGCAGATGTTTTCGTTTGCTCTGTGAGATTTGTCCTGTAATCTTCAGGTTTTTTGTGTATAGGAAAATAAAAATCAGGTTTAACTTGAATTCCAAAGCCACTTTTTAAACAAGTAAACCTCTTCAACTGCTCCTTAATGCAAATATCTAATCAGTCAATCACATGACTTATTGTATTTAGTCATGTAAACATGTTAAAGACAACTTGTTAAAATTCAAACCAAGCACCAGAGTAAGGAAGGAAGGTGATTTCAGAGACTTTGAACTAGAGTTGTTGGTCCCAGACGGGCTGGTCTGAGTATTTCAGAAACTGGTGATCTGCTGGGATTGAGCAAATAACACTGGTTAGCATCACAGCAAGAGCAGCCTGGGTTTGAATCTATGACCTGGCCACGGTCTCCCTGTCTGCGTGGGTTCTTTGGCTTCCTCCTACAGTCCAGAGACATGCAGTTAGTGTGATTAGGTTAACTGGTTATGTGTGAAGGGCTATTATGTGTTAGCTCTTTGGCAGACTGCCGACTTGTCTAGGGTGTACCCTGCCTCTCGCCCTATAACAGCTGAGATAGGCTCCAGCAGTCCAGAATCAAATAGGCGGAAGAAAATGGACGGATGGATGCAACCAAGGTATGCAGAAGAGCAGAACGATGGCTGCCTCTAGCAGGATAATATGACATGTCACAAACCTCAAACTGACTTCTTGAACAATGATAACAAGTTCAGTGCACCCAAAAGGCCACCAGTCACCTTTGGGGTGATTCACACTCACAGTCAACAAATCTGCAGTCACCGAGGAATGTTCCAATCACAGGATCAAAGCGGGAAAGCAGCCCTGGCCATGCCACCACCTCCCCCGGCTAAAAACCTATTCATTCCAAAGTTTTTAGTTTTCTCATGTTTCTGATTCATGACTCGTGTCTCATAATGAAGCTCAAACTCAGGAGATAAGTGTCTATAATAAAGCCCTCCGATTTATTTTTTAACCTGAAAGATACTTATTTAAAAAAAAAAGAAAAAAAAAAATCAAACATCAACCACTACATTTCATTTCATCAAAGTGGCAAAACAGCACCGGGCTTGCTGCCGCCTCCGGTCACAAAACCACAAGCATTTGCATTTTCCTTTTTATTTGCAACCATCTTTATTATCTCTTCCAGTTCTGGATGTGAAAAGAGGCAATTATTTTCTTTAATTAAATATCTTTTTTAATAAAGTAAAGCAGAAAAGTATTTACAATTTTTCAATTAAACTGTAATCAATGACTGGGGTTGGATATCACAAGCACCTTCTGCCAGCTGAGGAGAGAAAAATATAAATACGGGGGGAAAAACTGCCACATTGTTTCAGAGGAGCAGAGGAAATAGGGGTTACATTAGCATACTTTCTTTAAAAGAAAACTATTCATCGTATATTTACAGAACTCTCCTGAAATGCATTTCCACTCATGGAAGCAAAGAAAGGCCTTAGGATTCGTACTGTTAAACTTTTCTTAAAAGTCCTTTGTCATTAAAGTGGATTTTTGTCTGTATACTTTTTCAAGTTTCAAAAAACAAAAAAAAACAAAAAACAAAAACACCAACCGGCTTTGAACGAGGGTGAAACCATGATCCCTCGCTCTTGCTCTCCCTCTCTCGGTCCACAGTTCATTTTTGAAGCGCAGGAAACAAGTGAAACAGACACAGAGGTCGGGGGTGGTGGGATTGAGTTGGGCTGGGGTTTTAAAGGGTAGCATCGCTGCCACCCCTGCAAGCAGCAAAATGGTCAATGTTCATTGCCCCTCTCCTCAGTGACAACGTCCTCAGAAAGTCCACAACCGTTGCATTCACTCATGACTGAAATGTCTCTTAGATGGCTCTTTTCTTTGTAGTTTTCAATTTTTCTTACAAAAAAAAAAAACAAAAAACAAAAAGAAAAAAAACAAAACAAACCACCCTTAATCATCCAACACTTTGAAAAGGGAAACAAAAAGCTCTACATAAGCACGTCATGTAGATCCAAACGGCGGACATGTAGCATGACATCTGTCATGTCCACATGATAAAGAGTGAATTCATCAAAAATATAGATGTGAACAGCCTTTTAAAGTCTTCTGTTATATTTTCTGTCTTTAAGCAAAATGTCTTGAGTAGTTTTGCCGTGGCCACAAAAAGCTTTCTGAAAACAACCCAAAAAATAAAAATACTGAAGGAAACAGCATCAGAGCATTCCTACAGCTTTCAACTCTTCTCAGCATTCTCTCTCTCTCTCTCAAATCTATTCATCTCTTTAGTTAATCCTGTGTTTGTTTCAAAAAAGACATTCGGTTGCACAGAAGAAAAACAAGAAACTGAAAACAAACAAGAAAAAAAAAAAGGATCGAATGTTCGATCCATAATACAATCTCTCCCAGTTGAAGAAGTTTTTTTTCTTTATTTTTTTTTTCTGTTTATGCAGAAGGATTTTGCTGATTCAGCCTCTTGTGAATCATCCACAGAACATTCACTCTCCCCATGGGTTTGCCCAGAACTCTCATCGATTCTCCCAGCAGCCCCTAGCTGTTATCGGATTCATCCTCGGCTTCGCGGAGCCACGTGAAGAAGGCAGTGACGGACTTCAAGGCCACGCCCTTCCCCTGCTGTTCGGCGGGGTCTTTGCTGGACTCCCACTTGTAGAAGGCCTCCTCTTTGATCACGTCTTCATCGTAGAGTGTGTCGAAGAACATTCGCAGGAGATCTGATGAGTGAGGGGAGAAAGGAAATGAGGAAAATGGTGAGAAATGAGGAAATGATGCTGATCACTTTCTTAATCTTTTAAGTTGTAGCATGAAGAGAAGCAGAAATCTGAATTTCAAAGCAGTGACAAAGGACAACCTGAGCCTGAATGAGCTACTTACTGGCAGGCTGCTCCATCTGCAACATGAGGGCCTGCAGAGCATACAGAGCCTGTAGTTCCTTCTGTTCGTCCTTCAGGTATTTCTGCAGGAGCTTCGCCCTCCGTTTGATCTGCTCGCTGTCAACCTTGTAGGGATTCTCACCTGTGGAGGAAAAGTTTCAAGAATGTTCACATTTCACTCGGACTACACCCTCTAGCCTGGATTATTTTCACACACTGAGTAGCAGCCCTTTCATTCCTAAAAGTACAACTAAAGTCACACATACTGACAATTAACAGAACATTAAAAAAAAGGAATGAAATAAAAAGATCAAAAAAAAAAATTTCCTAGCAGATGAGACATAAATGAAGTCCTGTCAGCTGTGAGGGAACTAAAGGCTCGCTTTAAGTAACACATGATTTAACTGATTTCAGCAGTAAAAGGTCCCAAAGTTCAGTAATATGGTAAGAGGACTTAAAGCCCATCAGAACTGAAGTGGACCAGGAAGTCTACTAGTCTACTTAGGCTAGTGTTAATAGTGTTTAATGTGAAGAGTGCAGAATGACTCACAAATTGCTGACTGGCAAATGCAGGTCATCAGCGCTCTGACAAACATGTTGGAGGAGGTCTGCTGCTCATCCAGGTTGGCCTACAAAAAAAAAAAAAAAAAATCACGTTTATTTACGTGTGCACAAAACTGTAAAAACACCATCCAAAATACGCCGACCTGTCTGAATCAGCTCTGTCAGTGCTGCGGTTACGAAAGTTGCTTTGTTGAGAAACTAACGATGACACATTTTCAGGTTCTAAAAGTCAGAACCCACGTGAGTGGATCTGAAACAAACCTCAATCCAGTCAAAGATCCTCTGGTTGTCAGCCTTGTCCTGGATCAGTCTGTCCAGCTCTCTGGTCAGATCTGCAGCGCTGAGCTCCTTCTTCTTGTCCTTCTCCGACTCATCGCCCAGTGTAAACTCCACATTCTACAGAGAGAGAGGGAGAGGGGCATCATGGTCATTTTTCACGACGTTTGTCACATCACATGCTATGAGAATATTTCTTCCTTTTATCCTGCATTACATTAAATGTGATGAGAGGATTGTAACACTGCATATTGGACTGGAGGATTAGACTATTATACTACTATTATTAATGGAACTCATTTAAGATCCATATGTGGTATTTTAAGATCACATAAACAATGATGATACCTAACATTTGATGAGTTATTACTTTTCACCTCTGGTCATTTTTCTGCATTTCTTCAGCATCTGTCATTACAGTGGTAAGATACTTTTTTTCTCACTTGGATCTGTATGATGTACAATGCTGATATCCTTAATACGCTAAAAAAAAAAAAACAGAATTATGTAACACTAGTTCAAGATAGATTAAAAGAATTGAAGCATGATAACCCTGTGGAGGTTTTCTTTAACTATGTGAACACAAAGTCACGTCCAGATGTTTAGTAATCAGACTCCTCAGTTAAGACCTGAGCTTTAGATTCTTGCTTTTTTCCTTCGCAGTGTTGAATTACATCGAGGATAACCACAGACAGAAGGCTGTTAATGATGAAGGCAGTGAGTGAACCCTCACCTTTTCTGTCACAAACTTGTTGACGTCTACGTCCTCAGGGAGGAAGTCCTTCCACTGCAGGCCTGCCTCCCTCCACATTGTACCTGCCTTTTTATGGCTCTGATGGGAGGAAAGAGATGTTTGTACACATGAATAGATCTTAATCTTGTTTTTTTCTGGAACAAAAGTTTATGTATATATGCTAGCTTTTCAAAAACACAATATGACATAATGATCAGCTCTTACCATTCCTTTGCAGAGTAAAGTGAGGATGTCAACCAGCAGGACTCCAGCTTTGCCCAGAGGGATCAAAGGCTTTGAGACATCCCTGAAGACACATCAGGCAACCAATGAATTAACCATCAACAAATAGAAATATCCCATTTATTCCTCATCTGAAGTGTTGAGAGACTTAGCAAGTACTATAACAAACCTGAGAAGTTCTCCCATGGGGATGCCTCCCTCTTGAAGCATGGGAGTGATTAGCTCAGCCAGGTAGAGCCAGATATGGGGGATGTCTATCGCCATGTCTTCTGCCACCTCCAGGATTTCCTTAAGCCTGAAAAAAGAAGCACAGTACACGGACATCAAAGATTATTCAAGGGTTAAGAAATACAAGAACAAGCCCAACTTGACTCAGTAGATGGAATTATTAAGCAGCATCGCACCATGCTGGTAGCAACATATGGAAACTCACTGCTTTTTGGCCAGGCAGGGGGTTTTAAGATCACGAAATGCTGAAAAATATTCACAAGCCTGACGTTTCCCTGCGGGCCGCTGGTAATGTGGAGTCCTGCTGGTCCAAACTTTACCGGTTAACCCAGCACCTCCCTGGGGGTTCTGTACTCACCCTTTGTAGTACTGCTCCTTTGGTAGGATGCCGGTCTTAATGAGCTGGTGCAACAGCAGGCCCATGTGCTCCCTGGCGATCGTGCTGCGCTCCAGTGTTGACTCCAGCCCGTTTCGTACAAACACAAACAGCAGCTGAGTGCTATTTATCTCCTGCACGCACTGCAGAGCCTCCTGTGGGGACAGACAAGGACAGAAAGACAGCAGTGAATTATAAGCTCCTCTTTTATCCTCTCATGGCTTTAAGTGTAATAAATAGATGTTCAGGTGTCAACAATGCAGACTTTAGATGATGGAAATACACTGAAACCCTCACTGTGAATAAGAAGACTATTAGCAGCATTAATTATAAAGTGCTTTAATTGGTCCACAAAAGCACTTTGTGAATACATTTCACATAAGCAAAGGTAAAAGGTAGTTGTTGTTTTTTGTATTTAATTTTAGGTGTCCTTGCTGTGTGTGTGTGTGTGTGTGTGTGTGTGTGTGTGTGTGTGTGTGTGTGTGTGTGTGTGTGTGTGTGTGTGTGTGTGTGTTTAAAAAGCAGCATCAGTGTGTACCTTCATGTCGTTGATATGGAGGTACTCCTCAATGATGGCTGTGGACTTCTTTTCCAACTCCTCCTCGGTCAAGGCAGGCTTGGTGGGGGTCTGGGGAGGTGGAGGGGTGGCAGCTTTCTCCCTCTTCGCTGTTCACAGAACAACAAAAAGAAAGAACAGCAAATCAGATTTTAAGCTACATGAAGGGAAAAAACCAAACAGAAACATTGTTTCCACAGTTATTTTCTTGTAAATCTTCAAACTGAAGTCAACTGAATAATGAGGAGCACAACAGTCCTGCCAACATTTTTATGTTTGGGGTGGAGTTGATTTTTTCCCCCTAACAACAACAACAAAAAAATCTGATTATTTGAAGCTTTCAGAGAATCGTGCACTGATGACAAAAAGAGCTGCAGAAGTCATTATGCGACTTTTAAAATGCAGATTGTTATTCTTAGAGTGCAGTAGCTCTGTATGATTTCAAACAACAACAAAAAAAAAATCATCACCATCTATCTCGTCCTCTGAAACAGACCTTTTTTAACTGATCTCATATTTCATAATAAAAAACATCAAGCAAGCTGGATACCATTAATTGCAGTTTAATTTACTGGCACTGTCCCACAGATGCTGGGAAATCTGGATTTTTTCCCCCCCTGCCCTTGCAGCAATTTTTTTCATTTGGGCTGACAGATGTGCTGTTCGTCATCTTCCACCTGTTCTTTTCCTTGTGGTCTCAAATAAACAAATAAACTTTGATTACAAACGTTTTAAAAACTTGACCCATAGCGAGTTTCTCAGAAGAAACAATATTGAAAAACGTCATTATTTCAGACTTTATTTTTAAACTGTTATCACTCCCATGGAAACACTTGCTGGCTTCCTCCTTGGACCCAACCGCTTTTTTTAAGTTTCTCCAGTCTGACTATCTCCTTCTTTTTTGCCTCAGTGGTGCAAGTGATTACTGTTTTTGGTTGGCAGAAGCAACAATGCTTTTCTGGTTAATTTAGAGCGAGTCTGCTTCACTAACATATGCATGGCGGTAAGAGCAAAATTGGCCCATGTCATAAATAAGAACGTTTACACGCACATATTAGTAAATGAAGGCCACTGTGCTCATACCCAGAGCTATGAGTACTCTGTACATGTCCTGCAAACAACATCTCTAGAAACACTAACTACATCATGGATGTCATTTTTTCATTCATAAAAAAAAATGTTAATCTAGGGGCATGGACCCCTAACTTTTGCAGAAAGAAGTTTAAAATGGTGTGATGATGAGCCCAGGTATCTGAAAAGGACTATTTTTTTCAAGTCTGGTCTCCTGCTGTCTGATTTCTTTATTTAGTATTGTGAAATATTTTTTAATTTATGTTTTAAATATTTAATATTATAATGCTTAAGTTATCTCAGGCAGGCTACCATTCTCTCTGCTTCTGGCCCGTTCTCTGCTGTCTCGGTCATCCGTCATGCTCGCCACACGGCGGACTGGATCAGCAGGGCCACGCTGCTCTCTGTCCCGACTCCGCTCCTCCTTCTCCCGACTGAAACTGCGTTTAGTGACCTGGAGCTGGTTTCGATCACGGTCGTCTCGTCGCTCGAAGCGGTCACTGCCACGATCTGAGCGGTCGAAGCGATCACTTCGTTCTCGACTCAAGCTGTTTCTGTAGAGTTCAGACAAGAAGTCGTACAATTGTAAAATACATCTCTACGCACTCACACTATGAATACTGAAAGGTTTGAGCTGGTAATGAGAATTGTGTCCCTTTGCTCACCTCTGAGGAATTCTCTTATCTGTGTCTACTGAAGAGCCTGAGGACAAAGGCTGCTGCAGGGCTGAGAACCTGTTGAGCGTGCTGGTGGCTGGTCGGCTACCCGTCTCTGAGCCTGGGGATTAAAACAGGCACACAATACAAATTAAACTTCAGTTCTGATTACCACAAATAGATAATTCTTTGATATATAAACACATTTGTGGAAAAAACCTACCAGAATCTGCAGGCTTGGCACTTGTGCCACCGCTACTGCCCTTACCCCAGCTGCCCCATGTGCCTTTACCTCCTGGGGCAAGCAGCTGATTGTTGAAGTCAAGAACAGGAGTCTGAGAAGAAAAGGCTGTCATTAGAAGTCTGATATTTTCAATTGATTGTCAAAATGTGCTCACATTGTGTGTGAGAAGAAACCCCCTCCCTCTCTTACCTTAGTGATTTTGCTAAGGCGAGAGGTGTCAATAGGTCTGTTTTTAGAGATGGGCACTGTGTTCCAGCCGTCATCCTGGGGAGAGGCACCACGCCCTGGGGAGTGGGTTCCCCTACGGCCTGGAGAATGAGGGCCTCGACGACCTGGAGAGTGAGGGCCCCGACGGCCTCCACCCATCCTGCCTCCTGAGCCTCCACTGGATTCCTTCTTAGAGATGAGGGCTTGCTGCACCTTCATCTGCTCCCTGTGTTCCTCCAGCTCAGCATCTTTGTGGATCTGGTCGATGGTCTTGGGACCCTGATCGCCTCGCCGGGGCACCCAGTTATTCTGGAACAAGTACAAGACAGAATTGTGAGAATGATCGGGGGAAACAACAACAACAACAACACACACACACACACACACACACACACACACACACACACACACACACAACACACACACACACACACATCACACACGCACGCAACACACACACACACACACACACACACACACACACACACACACACACACACAAAACGAGGATGACTTTGAAAATGTATTCTTTTTCTGTCTCTAAATCAGTGACCTTTATAACTACAGTGTTCACAGAACAAGACAGCGAGAGAGAGTGAGATAATCATTCCAGTCGCGTTTCTGTTTTTGTCTTGAAAGGAAATAAAACATGCAGTATGTGCTTCAATTAAACTGGGCCACTACACTGACTCAGAGCAGCAGATTCCAGCTTGAAAAACACTGAAAACAGCAGGTTTTGTAGGAAGTTGTGGGAGGGACTGGAAGCCTAACTAAAGGACTGCAACATTCCTTCAAAAGAAAGAAGCTTCAATACCACCAGACTTAACTGGCTTCAGAAAGTTGCACGTAATTGAGATAAATTGGGGGGGAAGGGGTGACAGGAAAATTATGAGGCACACATGATGACATAGCATAGGATCACTCAAATCCTGTTACTTCAATTGAGAGAAGATGAATGGATGAATGAAAATGCTGCTGTTTGTTGTCTCAGCCAATGGCACAGAGTAGCTCTGTGTTTAGGAGCTGCCCTGCATTAATGAGCTGAAGAAGACTTGTTTTCTTAGCCCATGTATGAGCCTCACACTGGCCAGAGCTGAAGGACCAGTGTGGGTGTCTCTGGGCTGTGGACAGCACCATGCAGGGTCACAGACCATATGCAACAATAATGGATGAGTTATGCGTAAAACTCATCGCATTAACACGATTGCACAATTCACAGAAATATAATCACCTTAGTGAAAACATAGTCCTCAACACACACACACACACACACACACACACACACACACACACACACACACACACACACCTAAGTTGATGTCTAAAGTCCTTGTATGACAGCACAAGTGATCATTGAGTGAGCCCCCAGAATGTTAAAAGTGGTTTCTTTAAAGCTGAAGAGAAATTGCTGCCAAATTTGTGTGAATTTTGCATTTTAATGAATTTATGCTAACAAGAACCAAACAAAACAACAACACACAATTACAAATTAAGCAGGCAATGAAGGCAGCACTAAGTAAACACCTCCTGGGTTTTCCCAGATAAAGTTACTGCTTTTGTCAGTGTCTGGTGGAGTGTAAAATCTTCATTTCCCCATCACAAAGACAGTCTGACAGCATGTAAAGCTACTGAAATGTTCTGTATAAGAGTGCAAACAAACCGATACTGATTTGAATGACTTTAGTTTTCTTTCTGATCACAACCACATGCTACAGATTTCCCACAACTGAGTGGAAAAAAAATGTTTATTTTGAACTGTTAGTTTCCTGAAACATGCAGCAGCTCCTAATTGGGAACCCAACAGATTTAAATATGATATATGAAATCGCATTTTCTATCATTTTATCTGATTTAATAAAAATGCCTGTAAAATCTCAAGTGTTGCATAGTGGGTCAGGCTTTAAAAAGCTAGATCTTATTTTTGGTCTACTCAAATCATAAAATTTATAAATAAGCATTTTTTTAAAACAACGAATCTACAACCAGAGAGATCATTGAGTCCATATGCGACTTTGTTATTTACCCGTCGAAGGTCCAGCACATCCTGCAACATGAAACGGATCCTGGAGGTGGTCTTCCTCTCCTTTATTATTTTCTCCATCTGATTGAAGTATTGGTCCATACGAGGCTGAAGTGGGACACAATAGTTAGGTTAAGTGCATTGTGTGTTTATCAGTCAAAATGATAGAATCTTGGGTTGTATGCATCTCGGTCATCTTTCTCCAACATGTGTGTTTTGTACCTTGGCCTTCTCAAAGTCAAGGTCCTTGCCAATGGTGGACAATAGTCTGCACAGGCACTCCAGAGACTCCTCGTCATGGTTTTTGAGCAGCTTGACAATGCAGTCGTGCATGATGACCTCTGTGAGCATTTTCAGCTTGAACAGCTCACCAATGAACTTGATATTGCCTAGAGACCTCCTCCTGGCCTTGTCCTTAGCCTCTTCTAACTCCTCAAGGAGCCGCTGCTTCTCCTCCTCCTGGGAAACAAACACAAAAAAAGGCATTCAAAACAAGTACAGTTAGATGGATCTCTGAAACCTTTCAGATGTTTAACTATTGACTTGACACATGACTTCCTTTGTGCAAATAATACTTCACAATGCAGCATATATACCACGGATGCAGCTTCCAGCTCTTTCTGCTTCTTCTCGAAAATCTCATCATCATCCTTATCCTTCTCAAACTCCTTCTGGCATCGATTTAGCAGCAGCTTGCGAAAATTTACAGTGGCTCCTGGTTTATCTGGAATTTCGACTCTAAGCTGAAAAAAGCAGAGAAAGAAAACATAAGTTAAGTAAATGGCAAAAGAAGACAGGGTGCAAGCTCAGTGTTGCAGTGGCTCCTCAGTCCCTCAATCCCATCACTTAGATCAGTGGCCCAGACACGTGGCACTAATTTGAGTTCATCACTGGAGACTCAAAGACATTTGTAAACTAGCAGTACGAGGATTGACACCACTGCAAAAGCATTGTTGCATCTGCCAACCCCAGTGTCAATCTATTACAAACCATGATGTCACTTTTGCGGTGGAGTTCGGGCTTCCTGCATTGCCAACAACTACATTTCAGATTGAACAATGTTATTTAAAACAACAACAAAAAACATATATACATGCGCGCACACACACACAAAAAATATACAGTACAAAGTTATCTCACTTCATAAGTTCAATTAAAAAAATAAATAAATAAATAAAAATGGTGCCCTACAATACCCCCAAGACCCACAGCAATGGTCGCTTCGCTCACTGCTTAAACATTGTCTCACAGTCACTTCTATTTATTTCAATAAGGCACAGGAAGCCACTGCTGCACTGGCACATAAGTGCTGATGTTAGAGGAGAAAAGTCAAAACGGGAACCAAAGACGTTGCTGAGTGTTATTCTGCAAAGCTCTTTCAATAAAGCCTCAAGTTTTCAAACAGTCCCAAGGTCTCCCTTGGTGTATCTGTAAATGTCTGAGCTCCGGTGCTGGAAAATAATTAAAATGGTGGCAAAAACCGACCGGACACTGTACAGATGCGGCTGTAGCACACCGCGCTAAGTTACAAAATCGAGAGGTGCATGACCAGCCAAAGTGCTGGCAAGATTGTTGCGTGCGACAAAGGATGTGATGTCAAACTAGGCACAGCAGGTAGCGCAAAGTGAGCATAATGACCCTGTAAGAGTACATCTTTCACCATGTTACTACGCTGTGATTGCAAGTAAGTAGGTAACATTTTATTTGTATAGCACCTTTTCAACACTAGAATCACAAAGGACCACAAATTGCTCGACTGCATTGCAGCCACTCCCCAACTCTCTGTGAATGGTACTCATGGCCATTAATCTTGACAATTTGCATATTAATGATCGTGAAACTGACCTCAAGGCCTTTTGTTACTCAGTGGTGCTAGTTTCAGTCACTATGCAAATGCACTGTTTGTGAAGGTTGGAGAAACCTGCAGTCAGCTGATACCATTTTAAATGTTTAGCTAATATCTATGTTCTGCTATGTCACGTTAATCACTCATAGCTGTGTGTGAACAAGCTTAAAAGTGATTTTATGTTCTGTGTTTGGTAAAGCATGTATTACTGTCTCTTCATTTACCGTTTATCCATCAATCACACAACAATATGATACAGACTTGACATATCGACAAATCTCGCGGTAGAGTGCTACAGGTAAAATCTCTACCGTTGGCCAAATTCATATCGTTTCTACCGTATACTGCTTATACCGCCCACCCCTACTCTGCTGCATAAGTTAAACATCTAAACAACAACACTTCCATTGTAAATATTCAAGCATCTATATTGGGTGAGTCATCACTTACCCCCATAAGGCAGCGGCACATGTTGGCGTAGGCCACAGAAAAGTCTGGTTCAGAGATGGCCTTTTCAAAGGTGAGGTCTATGACTCCTTTCAACCGCTCTTCTGTGTCAATGGTCAGTTCTGTTACTTGTTTCATGAGCTGCTGAAACTTTTGGGGGGTCAGTTTATTGAGGATGCTGCGCACCCGTTTAAACAGCTCCTGGGTCTTGATCTGCTCTGGTTCACTCTCGTCTACCTCCTCTGCCCCACGGCTGCGAGGGCTTTTCTTCACTGAAGACTTCCACGCCTTCTCTGCTTTGTTCAGCTGCACCTCATCACTGAGTGGCATGCTGCTGATGATTTTCCTCAGTTCTTTCCTCGGCATTTGTTGAGAGCGACGTGGTCCGCCAATCCCCATGCCCATACCCGGAGACTGTAAGGGAAACATCAAAACATGATTTAATTGAAGTAATAATTCAATTGGAAAGTGCTCGGTTACACAAAGAAAAATTGAACTCACTGGTCCTCTGCTTCCTCCTCCCATGCTGGGCCTGCCAAGGTTGGCAAAGGAGGGCGTGAAGTCAGGGCCGCAGTTCATTCCTGGAAGGCGACTGGGGTCGAGTTGTCGCAGAGGTGTTTTATTAGCCTGAAAAGACAGAAAGCAGGATGGGAACTTAATTACAATTTCCACTACTATGTGATCTAGACATGTTTTTTTAGTCTTATTTCACTTAGACTAGACTTTAGGGTAAGTCTTTGCACCTTGTCCAGGACAACATCACTGATGGCTGGTAGGCCCTCAGGTTTGTTCATACTGGCTGAGATGAACTGGAATCCCAGAAGAAACTCACGGTCATATTTCTTCTTCTCTTCTGTGTTTATTGGCATCCATTGTTCTGAAACAAACAGAAAACAGAAGATGTCTTCTTGTTAAAAGACATTTCACAACATATGAGAGGAGGAAAGTAGACCACTCAATGAATAAATTCTGTCAAGTTTCAGACACCCACCCTCTTTGTACTGATACTTCTTGTCAGTGGCAGTCGGCTTGAGAGGATCCGGCTGAATATTCTCAGCATCCAGCTTGTCCTCCTTGTCCTCCCAGGTTAAGTCTGCCTCCTCTTGGGCAGGAGGAGCAGTGGCAGGGGGCTGGGGCTCTGGTGCTGGGACTGGCTCAGGCTCTGGTGCAACCACCTTTTGCTGCTTAGTCAGAAAAATCAGTTTGGAATTTAGGAAGCTCATAAATATGAGCTTCATTAAGACATTACAGTAGAAATCAGCAACTGCAGTTCGTCTTATGTCCCTGGAAAGGGTTGATGACTAGTTTCTTTTTCAGCTTCAGTGGGTATGGAGTAATTTCAGATTAGTTACAACGGGCAAGAAAAGTATGAGAATGAATGAACAAATACATCATCGATCAGATACCTCCTTAAAGGCATCCAGGAGGTCTCCCACAGCCTCCTTTTTGTTTAGATCCTTCATTTTTCTTTTTTTCTTTGGCACAGACACAGCAGCTAGAGAAAGAAAGACAGGCAGCCTCAGATGAGCTCAAAAATACCGCATCTGACAGAAAATCTAAGGATGACTCAATTCTCAGTTTGTAGAAAGCAGAAACAAATGACTAAAATAAATCAAACTTGGGGAAGTGACTAACCTTGCATAGTAGTTTCTACAGGAGCAGAGGTGACCGTCTGTGGGGGAGGAGGAGGAGTGTCTTCCCTCTCCTCTGCTGTAGGAGGGGGAGGAGTGGGTACCTTTTCTGGGGTGTTGTCAGCTATTGAAACGGTCTCTGTAGGAGAAGAAGTCTCTTCCTTGGTGCTAGACTGGGGCACTGGAGTGTCTTCCTTAACATCCAGAGTGGCTGCAGGAACAGTTTCTGCAACGTCAGGCTGGGCAGGTGCAGCCTGAGGTGGTTCCGCTTCTTGAGCACAGGGTGCAGGGGTTGAATGTTTAACAGGTGGAGGTATGGCTTCTAGATATAGTCCTGCCTGAGCGACGTTTGCAGATGTCTGTATTATCGGCTGCTGACTGACATCTGGTTCAGCTATGGGGCTGTCGTCACGTTCAGCTGTGTTGACGGCAGGCGCTTCGGGGTCTTGAGGGGCTGGGAGCGGCAGCCCGTTGGGTAGTCGGAGTTCCTCAGGCTGTGCAATTGGAGACTCCAGAGGGTCCTCTAGGTGACTTGGTGGTAACGTGACCGATAGCCTTTCAGGTTCCAACTCGGCCACACCATTAGTGGAGGAAGGAGGAGTTTGGGGTGTGTCTACTGACGTCACATTCTCTTCTGCTTTAGTCTCCTCTTCCTTTGCCACCTCCTCTTTCGCCTCTGGTGCTTTATTGTCAACTTTGTTCAGTGCAGCAGAGGTGGGGACAGGATCAGGAAGGGGTGCAGGATAGGCAGGTATCTCAGGTGCTGACTGGGGAGGGGGTGTAGGTTCCTTGTGAGATGGAGGCGCATCCATCACATCTGGAACAGGAGGGCTCGGTGCAAGTGCAGAAATAGTGTTAATAGGCGTGTTCTCAGCTTCTGACAGAGGAGCAGGTAACGGGGTCTTAGTGTTCGTATCAGAGGTTTTAGCCTCTGTAGGGGTGGAGTCGCCTTTGTGAAGTTCAGGGGTCTTTGCCACAGGTGGAGGTGTAGGTTTCCTTCTGTCATCTGGAGGGTCAAAAGTCAGAGAAAAAAAATGACACAGTTATACAGTCCACATTCATGGTTTTACAATCAACACTGAATACATAGTTTCTGAAAACCTATAAACCGATATTCATCCACAGCCATGGGTCACCTTTGTGAGGATAATAAAGGTTTTTATGTTATATATCTACACCTCATTCAACCCCCTTCCCAAAATAAACCAGCTTCCCTGTTTTCCTACACTTGGGCGAGCCACTCAGGGATGTTAACAACTTATTTTAACTATGTTTAAATCCAGCAGAGAGAATGGCACCAAGCAGCATGGATTTACTAGGAAAATTCTCATCACTCTTATTTTGAAAGCGGTGCTTGATAGCAGTTGTGTGCACTTCCATACAGATAACCCTACTTAACCTTAGGTGGGAAAATTACAAAAAAAAAAGTTCTGTTTTAAAGAAAAGACAAAAAAACCCAGCACATGCGATGCTGACTGCTCAAGATTCACCAAGATACTTGTTGTTCACCACAGGGCTCCTCGATGTAGCTGCTCACACAGACTAAAATATGTACAAACAACTGAACAGTGAAAATGAAATGTGTTTCAACTAAGAACTGCTTATGCCCACAGGCTGTGATTTAACATGCCTTATACCCACATAGATGGCTTCTTTCATGAATCAAGTTTGGTCCCCAGTTACTTTGGATATCTTGTTAAAGTAAGGAAACATTATGTCATACATAGCACAGGCTCTATCTTTCCTTTCTCCTAGCTTCTTTAAACAGTTATTGCTGTTTACTGGTAGAAGTCAATCTTAACAATTAAGTAATCACAAGATGAAAACATTAACTGGAATCATTTCATTTTATAGGTGAATTTAAGACCTATTCAAAGTAAAGAATGGTTATGAAAGTACAAACGGCTAAGCAGGATGCATACAAATAACAGTTATAAAATTTGTAGTAAGTAAAATATGTATCGACTGTGTTCAAGACTCTGCATGTGCCACTCACCTGGTCTAACCAGTGCTGGTGTAGTAGCAGCTGGGATACTCTCACCGTTGGCCTGGGTCAATGACGTACTTTCTGATCCAGATGTCTGGTGGGAGACATACACACAAACTGAAAGGTGAGCTTACAATTGAGGTTAACACTTTTTTCCCCCCATTTGACTATGGGGGTAAAAAGGAAAAGAGAAAACAGGCTAAAATCCCAGCTGGTTTTAAAAGCCACGTGTCAAAGTGCCAGTCAGTTTAATTTTGACAGATTGTAGTGTATCACATTGGAAATGGCAATCAGCATTCTTTCCAAGCAGTAACATATGGACAGAGCATGTGAGTTAATTCTAGTCCTTTCTGTTTTATTTTATCTTAAGTTAAATAAAGCAGAAAGTATTTTTTCTATATTTTAATATGAACCCCAGAAAGCAGTAGTTGTCAGGTAATGTCACTTTCAAGTGTATGAGTTTATAAAAAGCGAACAGTGTGCTTGTATGGCCGCTCTCCTGAGTACTGTTAGTTAAGAATGTGGCTCACCTGAGGTGGGGTTGGGGTGGAGCCACTACGGCCCCCTGACATAATCTCTTCTGTGATGTCTCGACCTCCTTGGTTTGGGTCTCTTATTCTGATCTGTGGAGGAAAGAAAGTAGATGAGCTACTGGTGTAAGTACTGGTGTAAGTAAAAAGAACAAAAGATGAGGGTAAGGGACAGCAGGTAAATAACACAGACAACGCTTTAGGTGAAACTAACTTCAAATGAAGAATAAAGGCAGGGGGAAAAAACCTGCTTCCCATGGTGTAGTGCCTACATTCGTCTTTTTTCACAGTCCTCCCTTTAGCTCTTATTCACTAGCTTGCCTCATTGAATGAAAGCTACATTTCTTCACTGAGGCACACAAAATCCAAACTCTAACCACCATGCAAATTCCTCTGCTGCCCAACTGAATGTGCTTCAGCCTCTGAGTCACCAGAAAAGCTGTCTGACTGAGCGTGAATTAAATTAAGCCAACTTGAAGCTAAACAGCGAAACAAAATTCCACTGCTGCTTTAAGCCGTTGTTGTTGAAAAAGCCTGCTCACATGAAGGCAAAACACAATCAGATCTGACAACAGAATGCATTCCTGTGTACACACTGCACTCTTCTTATATGTTACAAACACGTGTTTTCTCAGTCACACAAAGTAGCAATGAATTCAGGAGTCCAAATGCTGCTAACTTCAGTGACACAGGCCATTCCTAGAAAAGGATTAAACCGTTTGTAACACTTTTGCACTCTGACCTACTTTTGATAGTATTAGCTCAACCATGCTGACCTTTACCTGATTCAGCCTGCTTGCAACTCCTCTTCCAGAGTGCTACAAACCCCAGTGGGCCTCTATCATCCGAGGGCTGGAGTAACAGATCTGGCTGGCTTAGGGCTGGACTTTAAACCCCCACCAAAAAAAAAAAAAAACCCAGGACAGTGGGTGGATAACAAGTAGCTCCTTCTCAACTTAGCTCCCACAATAGAAATCCAGCACGAGACAGAAGAGCTATACGGAAGACAGAGCAGGGCTGGGCCTGACTCTCAGTACGCTGGCTCACGACTTGACCGTTTCTCATATGCTAAACAGAAGAGGAAAAAAAGGATAAAGCAACTGGCCTTGTAACGCTTTGGAATGTGCAAACCCCCGCCCACAGAAACTAACAAACAGTTAAAGGGGCCAGAGTGTGAAGGAGGGGCAATGGCAGGGAGAATGGGAGGGTTTCCAGGAACAAAAAGTTGTCAAATGAACAAGGGTTACCATAAGAAACTCCCCGTTTCCTCAATCCCTCTCTCTCGCTGTTCAGTCATCCTGCACACTCTGTTCAAGTTGGACTTTTTTCTGACTTTTGAGAGCAGAAAAGAAAATGTAGAATTGGAGCAGGAAGGGGGGGGTGGGTGCCACAGCAGCAGAGGAAGGCTGACTGTTTAGCCCTTCCGGCTCAAACGGGGGAGGAGACTGGTGGCCACGTGGAGCTGAGCTATGTGCTGACATGTCCTCCACCCCCCACCCCGCTGAACACTCTCTTTGACGTGGGGTGATAGTGAGAGCACACAAACAGGGGAGTAGAGAAAAAAAAATGGCATTTAGTTGTTGCAAGTCAGCTGGTATCCGATTTTTGGACGGAGAGACCACTAGCAACAAACACTTTAAAAAGCTACAAACCCAGACACGTACACACACCACTACCTCTGTGTGAAGCTGCCTTTATCCGTTCACAGTAGAACCTAATTTCGGTCAATATGCCCTGTACAAGACTCCAAATCTCTTGGTGCTCCTTTAAAGCACATCACTCCCGAAACTCAAGGAATGCAAGTCTTGTAGTGTGCACATGCGCACACACACAAACCCCACCCCTTTATATTAACAGCCAAAGCACAATGTAATGTAATTACAAGCAGATATTTTGTGTGATATCACCAATGACATTTATCATCTTGCAACCAGAGCTTCACATTTTGTGTGTCTCATAGATCACGTACAGTGGATCACTCACTTTTCAGACTGAGAAAAGCAGCAGGTTACACTGTTCAGTCATATGTAAGCATTACTGCAGATGTCTCAGATGTAAAAGGATGGTGACACAAGAGGGGCTTGAGTTCACAGAGAGCTACCACATACCAGGCGAGGGCCATATTAGAGCACAGGGGGAACACTAGACATTCTGTTAAATCAGGGAATACATTGTACAGCAGCTCAGCTATACAAAATAAGAAGTTGAAGACAAGTTTATTAATATCTTTTTCAATCAGTAAATTGAATTCAGTGTCCCAATTCAAGCCTTAATCATAAGAAGCAACAAGGATGTTTCTGTATCCCATTGCATTGTGTTGAAACTGGATTACAATGACACACATACTTGCTCATAATGCTACAATATGTCTCCAGTGACCATAAATTATCCATCTATAAATCGTGCAAAAGCTGCAATAATACACTTTAGCTGACCAATACTTCTAATATAATAATATAATATCATGAAATCAAAAGGGCAACAACATTTTTTACTCATCTCAAATCCAGTTGCAAGACACCACCTTCATTATCAAGGACCTTCATTGGTAATGATGAATATGAAGCTTTCAATAACTTTAGCACATGGTTAAGTTCCCATGTCTTTAAAGCAGGGATTATACATGGGTCTGTTCGGGTCCCAGTGATTTAAATGATATCATCGCATGTGTGAGGGTCTGAGTAGACGTCTAAGTATCTGCTTGTTTTTTTGACTGCGCAGACACTCGTCCGTGTCCGTAACTGAGCATAATATCTACAGTTAATATCTATTTTTATATGTGATACCCAAAATGTTTTGTTGGATGTCATATGCAAAACCTAAAATCATTATACTGCACAGCTATAAAGTTGTGGCTGTTTTTTTTAAAGTAATATGTAGTTTTTAGTATGATGATAACATAAATCAGACGGTCATGAATGTCTACTGTGAACATGTGACCAGCTGCAACAACAAGATCGTCAGGGTGTGACCACCTCCCTCTTCAGCATTTCAGAAATCATTCATAATTTTCTTGTCAGGATTATTTGAGTGCTGTGTTCACTTTTTTATAGTGTCTCCTCTTTTATAACTTCCAAGGATTGTTTTTTGCTAGTAACATGATTATTTAAGATTATGTTAAGTCTGTCTAGAGAGACGTGGTGATTTTGCATAAAAGCAAATGTAATTGAGGATACACACAAGTCATAAGCAGGTAAAACACATATCCTGTATCACATGCATCTCAAAGCAGCACAGAGAGTTTGAAGTGTGGCACATTTTTGAATTAGGAATGCTGACTGTACCTGTTTGCGTTCCCGTTTGGTAGGGATGTGCTGGGCAGGCTGAGGGGGTGGCTGTGGTTGTTGAGGTGCAGGATTCATAATCACAGGTCCTGCCTGGACCGAGGGGGTGAACTGTGGCTGTGCAGGGTAGTAGGCCCCTGCTATGAATCACAGACAGAAGAATGTAAACCAAGTCATATTGACTTAACATAAACACATCAACTTAAAACAACATACCACTTAAATAAATACTTCTGGTTACCAGATAATTTTTTGTAAATTTTCAGATAGTTTTAATTTTTGCTTTAATTTCAGATTCATTTCAATTAGTGTCAAGAGTGAGTTTGCTCACTTCAGTTTAACTATGAATGTTTAAACATGAATGTTTTAAAGCTTCCTCAGGCTGATTGTGTTGACCAATTTAACTGAACTTGTAGCCCTTTTCCCCTAGTACCTCCTTGCTTGCCTTGCCTTTTTTTGGGATTTCTGAAACACCAATTAGGTGGTAGTACCTGGTACCAGGTACTTTTTTTAGTACCTACTCGGCCGGGGCTCTAAGTGATCTGACGTGATCTAAAAAATGTGATGTCAGACTGCATGCCACTGATTAGCTAGTTAGTGGTGTCACACGATGTGTGATGAGAACGTCTCCTTCACAAAAATCAAAACCATCATTTTTCAAACCCAGCAATGATGGAAACGGCTACACAAAAAAACACTGTGGTCTGAGAGTCTGTCAAAAAAAAGACATACACCAAGCAGCAGGAACACCATCGCCTCGGTGTCTCCATTGGTGTGGTATCCGTGTAGCATACAAATGATGTCACAAGCTACACTGGTATAGCAACGCCATGCACATTAGGTGGTAGTCGATCGTAATGGAAAATGACCAAAATTACACCTATTTTTTGCAAGGATGCCATAACAACAATTACCGTTTTCAACTAATTTTCAACAAATCCATTTTCCCCAATACCAGAAAAATGATTTTGTATAAAACGAATTAAGGAAAATTAAAAATTCTAACAACTCAAAAATATGATAAATGACTTATTCATGTAATTATATTTCAGCACTTAAAAAAGGGCAAATGTCTTAAACTCTTGCAGCTCCTTATTTTATGACTTTATTATCGTCAAATATCAGGTGATTTTAATTACTTATTTTCCTGGGAATAAATAATTCAATTAAGTTCTTTCAGTAGAGATTTGCTGGAATAGAAACAACTGCCTAAAATCAGCATTTCACCAAATGCAACAGTTAAGCAAACACGGTACCAACAAGAATGCCAAGTAGATTTTCAGACCATGACACAGCAGTCTGCTGTGTCAGCTCTGCATTGGTGATCTCATAAGGAATTAAATACTTATCACATTCACAAACTTGCCAAGAAAGCTGCTGCCAGTGTGACACCCTCCTAAAGAGCAAGCAAACGCTTTTCGCATACCTGGTCAATAATGTCAACAAGACAAAACCACTCAGTGACATTACCTGGCCGTGTAACTGGCCTCAGCTACAGTTCAAAATCAGGTGTAGCCCACTTTTACAAAACTTAGACTAAAAAAAAAACTAAAAAAAAAAAAAAAAAAGAATAAACCGCCCCCCCCCAAACTCTAAACTGAAGAGGCCTCTTATTCAGGTTGGGAGTAGCTAGCTCCTGCTCTGCTTCTCTCCCCTGCTGCATGCATTACAGTCTAACTCACATTACTGAGTCTGCATTGTTGCCCAGAAGCAGCACAGCCTAAATATAGTCAAAAACCCACACCGGCTGGGGGAAGACTGCGTGCGACATGGAAAGGGAGGGAAGAAAGTGAGCGAGAGAAGGACAGAGAGAGGGAGAAGGTTCATAAAAGCAGAAAGCCAGAAGGCGAAATGATACTTGGACAGTATCCCAATACTGTAAATAAGAGACCTGAGATATGACTCAAAGCACAAAAGTTTGCCATAAGAGGGGGATGGGGGGGCTGCAAAGAGACACCGTCTAGACAACACCTACCCTCAGAGTCCTCCTGCTCTCGAGAACCAAGGTTGCCCATGTTGAACTGCTGCAGAATGTAAAGACTGTACAGAAATACAATTTAGAGGGGGTTTTCTCTTTAAACCCCCTCTAACTTTCTTCCCTGTCCTCTCTACAGGTGCCCTCTCAGAATGACTTCTTTTAGTCCTCAGCCCTCCCTCTTCCAGCGTGTCTCCATTTTGCTCCTCCCTCTGACCTTGCTGATTCCTCCCCACCTCCCTCCCTCCTCTTGAGTATAGTGGCAGACAAACTAAACTGTGCCATTCCAAGTGGCTCTGACTTCCCTGAAGACTCCTCTATCTCTCCACCACAGGCATGTTATCTGATCTTTGGTTAACACATAAGAGTCAAACGGATTTGGTGTGTATGTGTGTGTGTGTGTGTGTGTGTGTGTGTGTGTGGGGGGGGGGGGGGGGGGGGGGCTGTTTCTATGTATGTGTGTTTTAAGAAACACTCCACCACATAGATGGCTGCAAGGAGGCAAAATGATATTCTGGGATTATAACTATGACGAGCATAGAGCTTAAGAGGGCAAATTTTTTTAATTTTTTTTTAAAAAAAAGCATTACTTCCACACATGAATCCATTTCTTGGCTCAAGACATCTTCATGAAGCAAGCAGCAGTGAAGTCAAGGTCCTCAGCAACCAGGTTTAAAGAGCCATGTCTTACAGTCACTAGACAGTTATTTTATGTCATGTGCCATCTGATTTCACAACATGCCAAGGGACTGTCAGAATGACTGATGCAACAGACACGCAGGAGATTATTTTCAGTGTCATAATAAACATGAATTCAGCAGGCTCAACAGCCACACAGCTCATTCCTATCAGCTGTAGCCCTGCTGTGGTGCAGACTGACACTTAAATGCACTTTTATGTGCCATCTCAGTCAAAAGTACAGAATGGGAAGTGTTTCTGTTAGGGTCAAACTATCTGGGTTTGTACAAGACGTGGGAGGGTTCAGTATTCAGACCACACATTTAAGTATTGTAAAGATTCACTCATCACTAAAACTCCACAGAAGTTTACAATCTAGTAAAGCATTGTCAGACTGTTTGGGCAGACAAAAATGATCCTGTTCAAACTCCTATAGAAGAGCTGCTATAGAAGCTGTATAGGCCAGCAGTCCCCAACCTTTTTTGCACCACGGACCGGTTTGTGCCCGACAATATTTTCACGGGCCGGCCTTTAAGGTGTCGCGGATAAATACAACAAAATAAAACTAGTACCGGTACCGAAAAAAAGAAGATTTATTCATAACACACGTGAAAAGACCCAGGAAAACCGAGTTAACGATAAAAACGATAACAAAATAACGCTGAAAACTGATAAAAACCATACATTTCACACCTGAGCCTCAACTCTCAACCCCCAGTACCGTGAGTCATTTGGTACCGGGGGTTGGGGACCGCTGGTATAGGCCTTTGATGTGTGTGATTAGGGAGGTTCTGAAGAGGTTACGAGTCCACAGGGCAAACACAAAACACAATTATGCTAACATGTTAACATCCCCACCTATAGTATCTTCAGAATTCCTAATTAGCTAAGAGGAAGCCAGAGAACCTGAAGAAAACCCATGTGTAAACCTTGAATATACTCACTCGCTGTATATAAAAGGTCTGTCTGTCTGTCTTTTTTTTTTTGCTTTTTTTGCACAGTTGAGGAGCGTATCAGGTCACATTTCACTGCATGTTATACCTGTATAACCATGCACGTGACAAATAAAGAATCTTGAAATCTTGGAGAACATGGAAGCCTCACACAGAAAGCCTCTGGTTGGCCAGGAGGTTTTGACTCCGTTTTCTTGTTGTCAGGCAATACAAAAACCTGCTACACCACCCTGTGCTACCACTGACACAGGGAGGTGTAGGAATACAGTTAAACTATAAGAATATGTTTGAACTTGCTGATATCATCCAAGACTACATCGACATGTCAAATCCTGAACGGACACTAGAATTCATTCTCTTGTCTGTAATCTGAAGTTTGAGATTAGTGTATTCTCCTGATTAAATTTTTCTCATGACCAGTAAAGATACTTTGGATTGCTCCTTTAATCAAAAGGGGGACAAAACCCCAAAGGTATGTGTGCCTACTACCAGAACCGATCAAGGGATTGTTTGCTTGTTAGGCCAATGTGTACAAACTGTCCATAAAACAAATCTAACCATTTAAGGCCACTCATACTAAAAAAGATCTTATCCTGAAAATGCATGTAGCAAAACTCACACAGAATAAATAACACTGGCACATTTTCCACACTGACTTCTCTTATAAGCAAAGACGTGAATGTAATGGCCTGTTTATGGTCACCGTACTGGTTGTATCACACACCAAATGTGACAAGACCACTGTCCCGCCATAATTTATAGTGATGCCAAGTAGGGATGGGTATTGATAAGATTTTCACGATTCCGATTCCATTTTCGATTCTGTTTAACGATTCGATTCTTTTTTTTAAAAAAAGGAGAACACTAAGATCGATTAGCTTAGAACTTTGTTTTATATCTTCTCTTTGAACAAGATAGAAATTTAGAGTAACATGGCCTTACAAACCCAACAGTGAGATCTTATAATAAAATAAATATTCTTCTGTAGCAATAACAAAGTGTAACATAAATTATTCTGTAGCAATTACACAAGAATATCCAGTAATGTCCCTGCCTACAATTAAACACATTCACTTACTGAAAATCGGGGGCATCTGCTGTGGCAAATGGGTGCAAGCCTTTTACCACAAACTTAGTCACTGCTCGGTGACATCCATCTATCCTGGCCTGAAAGGAGACGCTACCGGTAAACTGCAGTGAGAACTGGCAGCATCTGAGCCAGCCAGACTCTGTCTGTCTCTCTCATCATGGTCACCTAAACGCACAGTAATGGCAGGTTTTGTAATAAGGCAGATCGCGCTAACATAATATGCACTGTTAGTTGATTATTTACCTGCCGCATTAATGGGAGAGGACGTGCAAATGTTACCGCTGCTGCTCGGTTGAGATTCACGAGTCTGGAGCGGAATTAAAAACGCGGGTTATCGCGTGTTTTGTGAGCAAATGCTTTTGCATATTCGTAGTGTTTCCTCCCTTAAATGAAATATTTACTTTTCAAGTATTGCTAGTTGCCCTGTTGTCTTCCGTTCTCATAAAGTATAACCAAACTTTTGAGCATTTGAGCCACTTAGGCGCCGTGTTTCCTGCCAGGTAAATGACGCTCCGCAACGTGGTGACGTCATTCGGGGCGACTGGAATCGATAAGGGAATCGTTTGCAAAAATGGCAAACAATTCCAAGGAATTGAAACAGTGGGAACTGGTTCTCAACAAGAACCGGGTTTCGATACCCATCCCTAATGCCAAGGGTGCGCCACACTTGCAGAGTGTTTGTTACCAAAAGTTTCTCCAGAAAGTCTCTGCTTTTCATGCCTTTACAACATCTCCTTCTGTGTAATTTGGAATGATCTGAGCCCTTGTTATGATATCAGTGGGAAAAAAACAATATGATTATACATTCCAACACAGTGTGCCAGGCTACAAAAGTGAACAGGTCCACGACTGGCCAAAATGACACCAAAGAGCAGCTCGCAATAGCATTTGTAACACCATTTTCAGAGTGTGTTTGTTTGTTTTGTGAGGGTACAGTGGTGGCTATAAATATGCCTTCAGTCAAACGCACAAAATATCTGAAAATATAAATTTATATATGCCAAACATGTGAATTTCCCATAAATTAATGCACAAGTCCACCAGACCTTCAGCCCTATACAGTTTAACTGTCCCATGCACAACCCAACACACACATACTCCACATTCAAGAGCAAATAGTGGAATCCTTCCTATGAGCAGTCTCATAGGAAGGGTTGTGTTTTTACAGGTCTGCATTGAGGCCTCTGCATTCAGTTCAACAAAGACAACACATAGTTCAAATGCCTGGTAGGAGGAGGTCAGCAAGTTTGTTTCAGGGCATCACTAGGTTTTATGGTCCAATGACACACAGTTACCACTAGATGGAGGCACAGCACGTATGATCAGCAATAAATGTGTCCGTTGCAGCTATACTCAGTTGATGTGGAACAAAAGGACTATGAGTAAATGTAAAATGAAGACACTTTTGTGTGTATTAAATATAATCATTGAAGGCTTTTATACTGTGATATACATAAATTTTACCTCTATTGCTAAGTGCAGATTTCTAAGGATGCTGTTGTGGGCCCATTTGTACATACCGGTAACCACTTTGACACGAATAGTCAGCAACTTTAAACTTTTTGGGGAATGCAGCCACACCCATCAATAGGAACACAGTGCGAGTTGTAACTGCTATTCATGAAGGTCATATGGTCCATGCTGGCTGAGAGAAGGTCATCTTTCCTGATTATTCTCTCTCCCACGGTCTGTAAAATTGTCACTGCTTTTTATAACACCTTATACTCCACTCCTGTTCATTCTCATTTCATGTTAGCCAGAAGTGTCTCGCACAAAGAGATGCATAAATAATGAGTGGGTGGCAGGGGACAAGATGAATGTAATTATTAGAAATCTCAGAAGCGTGTAGTTTATTAAGGGAAGACTGTTATTTTCTTGTAAACACTTACATGAAGACAAACACTGAAAGAGTAACAAGTCAGGATTCCTCAAAAAAAACAAAAAACAAAACAAAACAAAACAAAGAAGACTTCAGCTAAAGGCTGATCACTGTGCAAGATGTGAGCAACTACTGAGGATTTAATGACATGTTACACAGCTCACTGGCTTCCTGTAAAATGTTGCATTAATTTTTAAGATTCTGCTTCTTACTTTCAAGTCTCTTGATAATCTTGCACTCCCATCTCTCTCCAACTTCTTCACATTGCCACTCCTTCCCATACTGAGATGCTCCTCCTATGCTGCTCTTACTATAACAGCTGTTTGTTTCAGCCCCGCGTCTTTCGAAGTCTTGCCCACGGCACAGTCACTACTCTGACAGTCTTACCATCTTTAAAGTCAGTCTTTAAACACATCTTTTTAAGCTTCTCTATTCTGTTTGATTTTAGTTTAAGACGTATTAACTTTTTACTATATGGTGTTTTCCTACCGTTATTTTATCTATACGTAAGATATACTTTTGTTTAATTGCTTCTAAGGGCTCCTTGAGTATGTTGAAAGGCACGTATAAATGAAATTTATTATTTTGGGTGGTGTTTTTTTTCACTTGACATTTTCCTCTCCTCTCACCCTTCCTATTTAAATTTTGTTGCAACTTGTCCTTGCGTTTCATTACAAAGTGTACCATCGATCTTCATAATTGTTTTTCTCTCCAACTGATTTAGTTTGCCATGTGTAAGAATGGTGCTTGTTACTAGGTGAGTGGCACAGATGAGACTCCAGGTAAAACCTCTTACCGTAAGTACCATATTCTGCAGGGCTTGTGCCTGGGTAATAGCCTGGGGTGCCTGTTGGGACTGGAAACTGCTGAGGTGTGGGAACGTAGGTTGGTGACCGGTACTGAGGGGGCAAACCAGAGAGCGGGTGGAAGATAGAAAAGAAGATAAATGGAGAAAAACAAAACATCATTAGATACAGATATAGATCATTAAAGTTGTAGAAGCAAAAAAAATGTGAACACTTTGGAATTACAAGGATTTCGTGCCAACCTCTAACATGGGCTAAAACTTGATTATAAAAACTATAAAGAATTCTGCCTTCAGTCTTTGGTTTGTTGTTCCCTCAGTGACTACAAGCAGCCTCAAACCATAAGGATCCCTCCATGATGCTTTACAGTTGGGAGGGATCTGAATTGCAAAACTAATGTAATGAAAAAAGTAATCTGCTTTTTTGTTACTTCTCCAAATAAGCAATCCATTACTGTTGTAATGTTGCTACATTTTCCTGTTCCTTTTTCTTTCTATTTTTTGCATTTGTGCACTTGCTTTCTATTTTTTGTGAAATGGGACACCGTTCACATTTTGGAAGTATGTGTGTTACTATGTGGCTGGATTAAACTATGTGACACACAGCTTCAAAACTCTGGTGGTATGTTGAGGAGAAAATACTACATACATACTGGCTATGCAATAAGGTGAAATCAATACACTCAGGTGCTTTTCTCAGGACTGTGACATATTGGTACTCAAAAGAGGTTAGTGCATTATACAAGGCTGCCATCTTTGAAATGTAGTACGGCAGGAGACAGTTCGCCTCAGAAGTGTTCTTGTGTCTGAATATAATTGAATAATGACGTTTTTTTGTCCTTAAGATGTGCAAACAGACAGAAACCAAACTGTCTTTATTTATAAATGAGAAGCACCTCTACAACCCAAGTAGCTGCAAATGGGTATCTCCAGACACCAGCACATTTTCACACATTTGGATAAGAAGACCAGACCACATTTTCTGAGTAATCAAAGTAGAAATCCTGGTAATTTCTGCAACAAAATTACAAATGCCTCTGCACCATTAACCACTTTGAGCAGTTTGAGTCACTATGCCTGATTTTGTGGATGCAGGGTTTACAAAATGTATCTAAATAAAAAATTAATGCATTTTTAATAGAGCTAACAAACCTATATTTTCAATTTAATTCAATCTTATTTTTATAGCACCACCAAATCACAACAGTTGCCTCAATGAGCTTTATATTGTAAGATATAGACCCTACAATACAATACAAAGAAAACCTCTAGCAGAAACACAAACAAACAAAAAACAAAAAACAAAAAAAAACAAAACACACACACACACACACACACACACACACACGTTGTGCCCCCTACCTGTGACTGTATGATGTAGGCAGGTCCCTGTGGCGAACTGGGAAAGGGCAACTGTTGCTGGGGGATCATCATCATTTGGGAGCCAGGGCCTGCCTGGTAGACGTGGGTGGGGGTCACAGACCGAGGAGCACTGCTGGGTGGGACACCTCTTGGCCCACTGCTGGGAGGCAGGTTGGGCCTGTTGGGGTAGTAGGGCTAAAAAGATAGTAGAAAAGCAAAGGTGAAGCAAGTGTGGGTTGTGAAAAAGACAAGAAGAAATATGGTGTGATGGACCACAGAGAAGAAAGAAAAACAAAACAGGACCATTTGCTACCTCTCTGAAACCTCTGACATGAATAAATGCCCTTTGCATTATTTTATCTCTTGGACCCAGGGAAACTAGCTTGTTCAGCCTAATAATAAGCTCACAGTGTGTTTATGAATCTGTGGCTCGACTCCAACTGGAAACATATTGGCCCTGTCTGCCAGCAGAGATAAAGCAGCTAATGCTGGTTCATTCAGAGCCTCCTCATTGACATTCTGCTGATGGCCTGGGAGCTAACTGCTGTAGCCAGAAAAATGACACCAAGCCAACAAAGCACAACACTGCCAAATATTAGGCTCACACATATGCACTCCTCCAGAGGGTGAAAGAAGGGAAAAGTGGAGGGAAAAACTGTGAGGAAAGAGAAAACCTGAGTTACCTGTAGTGATCTGAAGCTTCCCTTCAGCAGCACAAGCACAGATCACACATAGACACACATTCAATAGAAGCAAGAAGAAGGTGGGAAGAGAAAGAGTGAGAAAAAGAAGGCACGGAAATCAGTTAGAGGAAAGCGCCCAGAAACCACCCGATCTTAGCTAAGCAGTGAATTAACAAGCAGCATGCAGATAAAAGGCACAACAGTGCATCCCAGTGAATCAGGCCTAGCTGCATTTCTGAAATGTTGGTGCAACATTTATGCATTTTATTATAAAGCATAACCCAAATGCAATTTAACTTTTATCACAGTAAATTCAATATTTACTTAAAACATTAACTTCAGTTATCATCAAGTTAATTTTGCATTATTGGGCAATGTTAATTACATAAACGTAAAATGTAAAATAAACATAAAATGTTAAAAATATTATCATGTAGTCTCTGAATCAGGAACCACCAGTTTGTGGTCATTTTATTCCTGAAATCTTGGCCTTCTCCACTGCTTCTCACATGCATTAAAATGGGTGAAATTCCCCTCCCACCCTCAAGTTAGTCAGCTGTGCTGTTAGTACCTGTTGATGTATAGGCCGGGGCCCGGGGGCAAACTAGAGGAGGAGAGGCAGACAGGACAGAGATTAAAGACAAAAGCTCAAACTCCATGCTTCACTCCCCACTAACAGGTTATTTCAGTTCTGTACGTTTCCAACTGGAGCTCATCATATGAAAATGGCTGTCATAGCATGTGCTTAGCTTGCCCTATATATTTTTTTAATTATTTAATTTTTTTACAAGGCTACATACAAAATATTACAGATCTGATATTAATGTATAAATCAAGCTGCCTTTAAGCTGATTGCATTTACTCAAATCAATCAGGGGCAGTAAGAAACAAAAGAATTTAGATCATGTAGATTAAGCTCCAATACTTCATAAGACATGTAATGAAGACCACAGTGACTGTTTACATTTCAGACAGACATGCAGGCATTCTAAGAACCCTATACGTTTAGGATAGTGCCAGTGAGTAGAAGTTTTGCAAAACTGCACAATAGCATTTTTACCCTGCGTGGTTTGTCTGGACTGATCAGATGCAAGTTAGAAATAAACAAAAATATTTGCATTGCACCACAAAAATGAACTTGTGTGGAAAGCAATGAATCCAATTTGTAAATTGTCATGCTTCTGACTAGATAATATTTTCCCTGATAGAACAGTCGTTTCTGAGGAGTGAGCAGGCCTACCTGTCGGGGTTGTGGTGTTGGGTTCATTTGTGGAGGTTGGGTGGCAAACACTACAGACGGGGGCTGCCCAGGGGGGAATGAGGGCTGCAGAAGACACGAAGTGAGAACAACAGCAGAAGAGCTTTAAGAGAGCTAAAAAGGTGAGGCTGTAGAGTCCCACAACCGTGTAAAGGCTTTACTGTTTATATTACACACATCTTTTCCGATTTATGTTTATGGGGTGTAAACAACCGGCAAGTAAGTACTTTATAGCTATTTTTGAGACAAAGTAAAAAACACACAAACACCAAAATAAATAAAATCACAATTAAAAATAACAGTGCTTAGCTGGATAGTTACAAAGATGCCGCAGGCTATTCTGGCCCCTGACAATATGATGGCAAGATAATAATAATAAGCTCATACTCATAGTGTGTTTATGAATCTGTGGCTCGACTCCAACTGGAGCCCAGTTATAATATTCAAGTTTAAGCCCATGTTAGAGGTTAGCATGATCTGAAAAAGACAGTCATAGACATTGTTCCAGTTAATTACTATGGAGGACATCAACTGCTGTGGGACTTTCCACAGTATTGTCAAAAAACACAAGACTTGCGTCTGCTGCAGCTGTCCTCTATCAGAGAACCTCTATTGTTGAGTGATCTACTTTTCATTATCTTCACAAAGCACTTGAACGACTGCCCTGTCTCTTTGAGAACACAGTGAGAAAGAAAACCACACCCTTGTAGAGCCAATATGCAGAGTTAAGTAGCACGGCATCTTACCTGTGAAAGGCCGGGGGAAGGGGCAGGGTGGGGATTGGATGGGGGTCCCGTTATAGGCTGTGGTGCTTTATTCATTTCATGGAGCTCTGCATGGGGAGGCAGATGTGGGCCTGTGTACAAGTCTGAAAAAAGAAATGACCAAAGGGTTAAACTGGTCTTTGGTAATTATATTACCTGCTATTTCAAAGGTCACAATGGTAACACTGTGGATTACACAGTGTATTAAAGTGGATAGCAGTTGCAGTTTAACTTAATAAAAAAGTCTTACATAAAAAAGTGAGAGCCTTCACTAGACTTACATTTATAAATCCTTTAAGGTCCAAGTGTCGTTACGCTGGGTATTTTTTTCCCTAAAAGTCAAAGAGAAAGAAAAACCTTGTTTACAATGACCACATATCAGCTTGCATCACATTTTAAACTTTACAGCCACTACTTTTTTTAAACAGCTGCCTTACAAACAGGCTGGAAAAATATATAAAGTCTACAATATCCAATTCCACACTGATGTAATTATAAAGTATTTATCACCACCAGCACATTTGCAATGAAACATCTCTTGTTTTGGTTTAAGTACAAAGGCTGAGATACTCAAAGATAAAGACAAAGAAACATAAAGCTAACAAAGCACTGAAGCCGTTTTTACTTTTAAAAGCTAGCCAGCTAACATTGTCCTCCATGCACTTTCTGTTTAACAGCACACGTTTTCTGAATGTGAAAATAGTTCAATAGCTTTCTGACTTGAAACATGTTACATTTCAATCATAGTGCTACGTAAAACTTGACTGTAAAATTAAAAATAAATTGAAAAACAATAGCCAGTAAATTGAATTTGAGCACTCGTTTACATTAAACCTGAAGTGTTATACCTCATTGTGTTGCAAGATAAATTAACCCCACTGAACAACCGCTAAGTACGCTAATATATCGTTTTAGCTAGCTCCTCTTTAGTATTAGCATTAAATACGCATATAATGATAATCTTGACAGTTACAACAATTAAAAACACAGGTAAATGCAATGACCCACTACAGTTTTACCTTGAACAGTTCCGCGGACATCCGTGTAGTAAGTACCTTAGACACTGCATATGTTTAAGATAACATGCTAGGAGTGAGAAATAAACTGCCAGACTGTCTGCTATCAACAACAGCAGTCTTTACGTAGTAAGCAAGAAGAATTCAACCAATGGCGTGTCGCTGTTCCCTGTTAAAATATGCTAATTTCCCACCCCCGCCCCCCAGCGGCAGTCGTCTAACCTGTCGCTATGGACTCCCAACAGCCCTGTTGGGCTTCCAGCTGTGTAGTAGCCATAGGCCAAACTGTGAGGTTTGTTTTGTGGACCAAAAAAACCCAAAACCCCCAAAACGTATTTGTGAGTTGTCTGAATCCCCAATACTGATAAAGCAGCAGAATATTTGTGAAGGAAAAAAAAAAGGGGGGGATTATTGATTGGGTACATCCTAAATAAGTGGAGAAACTCTTCAAATGAATAAGTTTATATTAATGACAAAGAAACACTTTTGCAGATTTGTACAGTGGTCATTTAGTGACGCCACTATCAGCACTGACACCTATCTACTGTATTAGATCAATGCTGCTAACCAAAGTTGAACTGTTTTAAAATTCAGGGAGCATGAATCAGCTCACACCTACCAGAACAATTCTGTGTACAACAACAGATTGCCATTGTCTATTGTTCCAACTGCTCAGTCTCTGAAATGTGCTCTCCATTTAGTCTGATCACCACATGATGATACACTCAAACAAAACAGTCACCCTGCTGACTAAATGGTCATCTCCGTATGTCATACATAGTAAGATACATAGTAAGATTTCTCCCTAGCTTATATAGTCTTCACTAATAATAAACGCATCTGGTATTCATAGCCCAAACACTACATTATCGCTATCACTGTCACTGACACACACACGCTCTTTTTACTGATACACATACACAAGTACTCACACTCTGAGGCAGCAGAATAAAAAGCCTGAGTCATGATGATTCCGGATGTTTGTTTTTTTTCAAAGAGGAAATCATGCTACAGAAATAGTTGTTATCACCACCGTTTCTATGACTATAACAATACATAAATGCAAGGGGACATAAATCTAATCAATTTCAACAAAGAGGATTTCTATAAAGGCAGGTGAAATCCCTGACATTGATTGAACTATTCACACCATAGTGGAGCTGCAGAGCTTTAATAAGGAAGGCAGCAATATAAGTGAGGAAAGAATGCAGGAGGGTGATAGGTGGCAGTTCACAGGCTCATCCATAGAAAGACTGTTAGGCTTAGCTGGGCTGGCTTGAACCAAATGCTAAGTAAACAATCTCAGGGCTAAAAGAGAGCCTCAGACTAAAAAGCTACCTACTCCAGTCATTTTGCATCACACTCAAGCCGTTTTCACACATGTGCAGCAGCCCTCAACTTTTCAGCACATCCCCAGACAAAGGTGTGAGTGAGAGGGCAAAATCTCTCCAGTATAAGATCTATTTGATTTCAGACTGTGATGTTGTGAGGAATGTCCAGGTAAAAGTCTGGTAAGATCATAGTGAGCAAGCGGCCCCGTTTCCTGACATACTCTGCCAACATCATGTCTAATACTATCACTCCATGCACCATGTCAGAAAGAGCATCTGCAGATAATGTCGTAAACCACATTATCCAACTCCAAGGAACATTTTTCACAGCAGTTCAGACATTATCTGTCTATACCAACAAGCACAAAGACACAGATTACACGACTAGGAAAATAGCCATTCTCCAAATCTACAGCTCGCTTCATACCTCTGCGTTTTGCATGAAAAACAAATAACAAGCTTTATCAGATGACCATGAAGAAAATAAATTCCATTATTTGGATGCATTTCTGGTCCTCCATTTCCTTAACAATATAACATTATAGCTTTTACCAGACTATCCTATTTTAAGTAGGCAATAAGATCTCCATGGGGGAAATATGGTCTATATTGCAGTTTGAATCGTGGCTTCAAAACTGTTACAACACATGAAAGTCTCATACACTGGGTATGCAACAGTAGCATGATAAAATTCAGATTTTAACAGCATAGCAGCTGCTACCAGCACATGTAATTCTTTAATTATGTTGAATTACCACCAGCAGTTTAACTTCATATCTTTGTTTTCTTCCAGATAAGGGTTATGTGATAGAGGGAAGGATATGTAGATACTTAGAAGATCCAATCAAGCAGCAAACACAAACTGCACTGTTTATAACAGATTCACTTTCTGTCCACTGACATCAGTCAAGTGAGCTCAGCAGCATGTCTTAAAATTGTATATAATCCAGTAATGAATTGCTGAAATTAGTGTTCACATATTCAAATCTGAAGCACCAAAAATAAACCCGGGAATAGCCTACTATACAAGCAAAGATCCCAGTGGTCGACCTTTCTTGCAGGAATGTGGGTTTTTTGTTTTTGGGTGGGGGTGGGGGGCAGAGGAAAGTCATCTACACCGCCACCGAACCCCACCCCATCCCCTTATAACACACAGGCCAGTCATTTGAGCTTCTCTGACATGCAGCACTGTGGAAATTTAGCCAGCACGACTGACAGGGAAACATGCTCCTTCAACAGTTACATAAGCTTCTGCTGTCGGTAACCAAAGTTTGCTGCTAGTGAAGTTGGCTGTCATGTCTCCTATAAAGGGTGTAACCACTGTCTGTGTTTGAACACACATGATTTAGACTCCCTTTACCCAGAGAGACTGTAAATCAACTGTTTACTGAACCTATAACCCCCCCACCCAAAAAAAACCCCCAAAAAACAAACACATCTGCACTTAGAACTAGACAAACTTTCCTGCCTGGGGGAGACAGCAGTGGAAAAAACAACTAAAGATACAAGAATGTAAGTCACTTTTTCATGCCTGCAAATACTATAAACTAAACCACTCGTCTCTCAGGCTTTTGCACAAAGCCTATTTGCAAATGCACATGACCTTAGTAACTTAACTTTTGTACACATTTTATTAGCCTGACGTTTGTACCTGTCACAGTCAGTGGCACTGTGTAGTCTGTTGTGATAACGCAGTTCAGAAAGCTCCAGCAGTGGTAGGCTTCGCTGGATCACTTTAATCCTCGACGACTATAGTTTTAATTCAGTATGCAAAGACAACAACATGCTTATTTTGCAAAGTTGTGTTTTTGTTCTGTCATTTATAGACAGGACCAACACACTTAGAAGAAATTAGGTCAATATTCAAGCTCACTGACCTAAGCAGAAAGGTAACAGGAAATAAACTCCGTCAGATTTCCTCCTGTACTGTGCTGCTTCTCCCAGAGATAGTCCACAGATTTAAAATAGCACTTACATAAAGTTGGGGCATTTACAAGAGAAACACTCAAAGCAGAGGCTTATATATTTAGAAAAGCCTCAGGACTGAGTTGAGATAGATGCAGCCACAGCAAACGACCAAACCACAACCATGCTGGTCCCCTGACCGGGAAACCAAAGTACACTGCACACTCATTGCCTAATGCTTTATTACAAGCTACTGCTGTTTTTCTAATGAGAATCATAATTTATAAAATTAACATAATTCTGTATTTGATAAAATGGTGACTGACAGGAAAGCCTTTAAAGAGGTCATAGAGCAAGGAAGCAAAGGGCTGTTTTCACAAACAATTCTCTACAAATGGACCCTTTCGTAAACATGGGAGTCACACTGTGTTGGCCATTAGAAAGAATACAGATTTAGACCACTTCCATACTGGCTTCATTTCAGACCAGGAAGTTGCATCCATTTTTTTTTTTTTTTTAAATACAGTTTTTGATTAGGAGCCACAGGAAAAGCTGCATTACCACATTTTACACAAATCTGCTCAATACAACTTGATTTATACAATCCCCATTGAAAGCTCACAGCTTTTTACCATCATCTTGTTTCTGCTTCTCCTTTCAAGGGTCGCCACAGCAGATCATCTGCCTCCATCTTACCCTATGCGTCACACTGACCAGCAACAGGTCCTCTTCCACTACATCCATCCTCCTTTGAGATCTTCCTCTTTTCCTCCTGCCAGGCAGCTCTGTATTCAACATCCTTTGTGCAGTATATCCACTATCCCTCCTGCACACATGTCCAAACCACCTCAATCTTAGTCGTCGCTCTTTTTACTATTACACTTCCTTTTTTTTGTTGAAGCCCTAACCCTGCTCATACTTTTCAAGTTTATCTTATCAGACATTACAAATTTCCATTCAAGTCACTGTTTTCTCAGCCTGGTTAATAATTCCTCTGACATTTTTTTTTCTGAAGTGGAGTGAATTAAACAGTATGGATGAAACAAACAAAACAATACTTTACAGTCTGTACTCCGCTGTTGACACTGACCAATAATCATCCCATTTGAGCATCAACAGTCTGTGACAAGCAGGCATCCCACTCTGACAATGATGAACATACAATTAGAACGTAGCTGCAGTGACACAGCATCACGCCAGCACAGCCTGTCTCCTCCCTCCCCTTCTCGGTCCTGTCCCCATGTTCCTCTGGTAACACTCTGCCAAAACCCACACATGCCCAGTCTCCAGGCTTTCAAATTTCACAACAGGATGCTCGGCAGTATCCTTATGTCAGGCAAACTGTGAGTAGCTGGCTCCATGTGTTTGTCTGCTGTGAGTTTTATTCATTTCCTCCAAATAAAGCTTGTCTGAAACCACTGCATATCAAATATGAATGTTCACTGATAGAGATAAGACAGACAATAAACACCTGCCTGTATTAGCTATATAGACTGTATGCCATCTATAAGAAACAGCATCCATTTTGGACTCACACTCCCAGATAAGGTCACATGGTTGCAGTCCTTAACATCAGACTCGTGTTTGCTGCAGTAGACGAAGTGATCATCAAAAGGTGTAAATGTGAACATACCACCAATACCAGCGTTTGACTGCCCCCCACCCTATATATATGAATGACACAGATACAGCAGAGACATTTACACCAAGCTTGTCAAGACAACGGTCTGTCCAAACTGTGAGACACTTTTGCTTTGACACAGGGGCGTGTCGGTGTTTACGCGTGCGCCAAACACACGACAAATTCATCTATTCTCGTGTTATTTACAGTAAACGCATATTCACGCACAATAGAAGCTGCCCTAAACATCTGCAAATACAAACCCGCTGCTGCATGTTATGCAGTTAGCCATGCTGCTAACTTTCCTAGGCCCAACCTCGATCTACCACGTGGTTTCTCCTGCTACTGGCGCGATGCACAGCCCAGCTGCCGGCTTCACGCCAGCCACACCTCAGCCGACAGCACATATGACAACCATCTATTTCACGTACGGCACAAAGCATAGACGTCCAACAACGTGCAGAGGAGGCAGCAATGAAGACAAGCGTGACACAGGTCGGATCTAAGGAGGAGAAATACTAACCCGGTCGAGCTGAGCAGGTGGCTCCTGGTTATTAGCTCGTTGGTTCAATAGCTGCTATAGCTTTAGCTATATGAGGATGAACTGCGCGGCAGTGATGCCAGTGGTGTCGTGACAGTGATGGATACTGTAACTAACCCGAATGAGTCAGACCCCTCAGTTTCACTTTGCAGCCAAACATCTCGCTCAGTTCTGACAACCTACCTACGCTTACACCGATGCAGTACAGGGGATGCCGAGAGGAAATCCCAGATTCTCGTGTGGCTTATTTCCCACTGCAGTTGACAAGTTAAAAGCAGAGTGATCCATCTACTCAACCACTCACGCTCCAAAACACACTGTCCAATTTCTCTTCATTCCTGGAATTGGAGTTGTAGCATTTGTTTTGTTCATGAAGAAAAAGACCCTTGCTCCATGTATACATCCAGATCTTTAAATCAGCTTTACATGCTTGCCCAACCCGGCACCAATCACCATCACATGGTTTCAGGTATCAAGCTCTCAGTATGCATGTTAAAATACATACATTAAATGATTACAGTGATCTCTTTATGTAAAGCCGGGCAGTCAAAAAGGTGTAAAGGAGTTCTAATACTTTCAGTCGGGAGCTTGGCACTTCGGCAAAACACGCCTTCACCAGCCAAAAGTGGTTTCGCTGCTCACGTATCTTATGTAGGCTACTTTGTAGCTAACCTACAAACGGTTCAATAGCTAGCAGGAGAATTTACGTTTACCAGCGAAACAACAGCACTGTGACACGACAGTCTGTCTATCACTTTTCTTATATGATATAGTACACATAACATAATGTGTGTCCCCGAATCAAACGGGCATGTAAGCAACTTGGCTGTCTATCGAAATGCTAGCTTGCTAGCCGGACAAGCTAAAATGAAGAAAGAACACCCACGTCGCGTTAGCATGGTGCTAGCGACCAGCTAGCTAGCTAATCCCTAAAAACACAGCAGGAACACCATCCAGCAGAAAGCACTCAACAAAGTCACAGGACACAGCCAAATCACCCCACTAAAATGTGAAAGGTAGGTCTGAACGTCCCACCAGAGTCTCCATAGAACAGAGACGTAACATTTATCTCAGATATTAAACGTTTCAATAAAGAATTTAGCTGAGGATCGTGGCGTTACCTTTCTCTCCTTGAGTCCGCGGAGCCGGACGGACGGAAAGTCTTCCCGGAAGCCGGTACCTAGTAATTCCGGCAAAATCCCATCACGTGAAAGTTTCCCAGTGATCATGTTCTGAACAATAATGTAAAATCTTTAGTCACCAGTGTTTTCTCTACTCTTCTTGTGAGTAACAGGCATCCATTGGCTTTTTCAGTGACTATAGTAGGCTGACGTCCTGACTTGGTTCAAACTATTATCATGGCTACTCTTTTATTATCACATAGCAATAAGAAAGGCCTTTAAATGGAATAAATACTATAAATAATAATCTGAAGATCAAAGCAAAATAGCAAAGACGCCGTTGAGTATATTCAGCGTTTAAAATGTGGCAAAAGCTTGGCAATTCTTGTTAAAAACAGAAATTAATAGATCAACTAAAGTGTAATGAGATGCAGTTGGAAATTCAAAGTTGAATCAAGCAATTTAGGTGGCAGCTATAAATTATTAAAACTATAAACTTCATTTTTACTGCTAACATGCTCACTTGAATAGCAAAGCCATGTTAACTGCTTGAATAGGTTTAGCAAGAGAAATAAAACAGTTTGCTTCTTAATGAAAAAACCACAGTCACAGCATTTCCACAAACTGGTCGACGTTTTTATTACTGATTCAACCTTGTACAGTACTGTAACAAAAACCAAAAAGAAAATCGTGATGCTGAATACACACTTTTAAATGCTTTTATTAAAATGAATTTAACAGTTGGCAGGGGAAACACATGTGAAGTACTGATGAGGATTTTGCAGGATTTTAGTCATTCATTTGCTGATGTTGAACAGGTCCCACTTTATAAACTGGCCTCAGGTCAGTCAAACAGCTGGTTCAGTACATGTGGGAGAGATGGATCAAAATTGGAGCAATGAGGAAACCATCTTTATGTAGAGAGGATGAGGTCCCAGTATGCCCTCCCTGTGTCATACCAGTCCAATTAACCAGACCCTATCCATCCATTTTTAATGATTGCTAGAACTGGGCTGCAGACGACAGATGAAGAAAGCCAGGCCTGTCTAGCCCTTTTCCAGCCATGCAATGAACAACTAATTATAACAACTGCCAAGAGCCATGGAGGGCTACCCTTAGAAACACGAGAAAAGGCCAGTGAGGACGGGTGCAGCCTAGGTTTCATAGTTAGGGTTCTTGCGGAGGATGACAAAGCCCTCCAGTATGGGCGTGACGGGCAGGTACTCCTCTGTGGCCAGCTCTGCCCTTTCTCCATGAGCCAGCAACACTGGCGTGGTGTGAGTCTGGAAACCTGTGATGGCCTTAGGCTTACCTGCCTGGCCCACAACATCCACAGCCTGTAGACAGGTCAGAGAAAATTGTGTTAAACAACCATGTCCATTTTTTGGCTATTAAATTACATACCATTCTCCACCACGCTTCTATTCTTAAAATTGTTTTTTTTTCTCTGAAGAAAAGAGTTGTTAAAGTTCTTCTTGCTTTCAGCAACTCTCAGAGAAAAAAAAAGACAGCAGAACCTGTTCAGGAGGGAATTAATTACATGGGTTAGTAGGATAGGTAATCTCATCTTTCTCTGAACACAGTTTGAAACTTTATCTGTGGTGCTTTGTGTTAGGGAGAAAAGACAGAGTCAATAAGCTCTGCAGACTTTAATTGTCTCAAATAAGTTATCCCAGGCTTTACCTGTCCAACTCTAACAGACACAGGCAGCGGTCGGAGTTCCTCATCGAATGTGACCAACATACGTGGCTGCATGGCTGCTACCAGGCCATAGAGAATGTAGTGAGATTTTCCCAGGATTACTGTAATGCACACAAGACACGAGGGGATGTTAGCACAGGAGACTCTCGTTTCAAAAAAAACTTTCAAATTACTGACTAATAATGGATGTGTGCAGCTGAGTGGGAGAAAATTAACTCACTGTTCTTGACGTCGAGGAAGGAGACGAGCACAGTGAGCAGTCCCGCCACGGCAACCTGACTCATCAGCTGCCTGTCGCTATGGTAGGGACAGAGTGTGAGTGTGCCTTTGCCCAGGTGAGTCAGACCCTGCAGAGGCAAACACGACAAAAAGTCAATAATTACTCTAACACACACACGCAAGGCGTACACGTACACACAAACACACACGCACTCACACACTTTTCCAAAAGTTAATTTGAGTCTTGTACAGGGTTCCTTTTGTTTTGCCACCCACCTGAGCCAGTCGGACCATGAAGAGATTATTGGGATCTTTGGCGTGATATTGTGCCAGCTGCCGCAGCATGGCTGCCAGTCGGGCATTATTTGTGCCTGAGGAAATGGAAAAAATTAAGAGCTGTTAAACTTGTAAAGGGCATTGACACCAGTGGCACTCTCAGTCGAGGAGGCATTGTGCTCCATTGAAAATGCCAACTAAGTAACATATACCTTCAAGCATTCTGTGAAAATTTTAGTGAGAAACTTTAGTCCAGTTAGTTTTTCGGATAGCTGGCACATTAGCATCTTAACCAATTAGCATGGTTCTGCAGTACTGAGCAAGATAATGAACCAGTCTATGCAAGCTGGGACATCTTTAACTGCTACATGACGATGTAGCAGTGTAGTTAAAGATGTAGTTAAAGATTGAGCCACACGTTTTAGCTGGATTTACAACACAAGTTTGTTATGAATAATATGGTGAAAGGCTTGAAAAGAAAATATTTGATATCCCATGAATTGAATGCATGAATTCAACTGCACTCAATTTTAACTGCTTTCTGTATTTTTGTTCATTTTGGACCAGTTTATTATTCTACTTATAACTGAATTGACTAGGAAATTAGCTACTAGGAAAATCCCTTGGACACAGCAGCATTGTTTACAAATAGCCAGCACAGGAAGAGATCCTAGTTCTAAATTGATCTATGATCTCAGTAAACGTTTCAAAACTGGGTTTTTGGTGACTAATTTGACAGTCAGTAATTTCAAGTCTTACTTAATGCAAAAAGATGCTTATTTTGTAAAAGGAGTCTCATTGTAAAATGAAAATAAAATGCACAACAAAGCAGGCTGAGGGCAAGGAAGTTTTCTGTAATTTCTTTAAGTAGTCCTCAGGAAATGTTCTCCAGGCTTCTCCAGGCTTCTTTAAGGCTCTGGGGAGGCCAGTCCATGACTAACAGTGTGTTTTTCTATCCAGATATGCCACTACTGCATCAGCAGTGTGATTTGCATCATTGTCATGCTGAAAATGTATGCTGTTTCCAATCAAATGCTTTGTAGTCGGTATTGCATGGTGGATAAAAACCTGACAGTACTTTTCAGTGTTCATAATTACATCAATTTTGACAATATCTCCATCAGCACTGGCTGAAATGAGGCAACCATGACAGAGCCTCCACTGTGTTTCATAGGTGGTTGTGGATATTCACAGCTGTACCTCTCTCCTGCCCTCTTTTGTACACATTAACAATTTGAACCAAAACCTTCAAATTGAGATTCATCCCTCGATCAGACCTGTTGCCACTTTTAAGTCCAGGTCTTGTGTTATTTGGCATATCTCAGCCTTTTCTCCTTGTTCTCTTCCCTTGAGAAAGGCTTTTTGATAGCTACTCTTCCACTGAGATCATTTCTAATGACACAGATGACATAGTAAGTGGAGGTGCCAGATGTATCTCTCAGCTCCTCTATCAATTCTTTGCTCATTTTTTCCCCTTATTTGTTAAGGACATGATTTTCAGATACTATTCATTTGCCGTAGATAGAACAAAAAATAGCAGGCTTTTAAACTATCTTTCACTTGTCCAGTTTCCAGAAATTATTTAAGGATGATAATATTTAGGATCAGATTTAGGATTGGTGTTATTAAAATAATATTCCTCTGAAAATGGTCAGGTACAAGGCCTGAACAGAAAATGAGTGAAAAAGCAGCCAATCGCCAAAGAAAACTCTTCAGAAAGCTGGAGAACTATTGCTCAAGATCATTTAAAAATATTACAAGTTTCTTTGGAAGTGAAATATCAAGAAATGAGGGGCGGCTCAATATTTTAGCACAGTACTGTATAATGGCAACCATTGTTAGTTTTCATGATTTCATATTGTTCCTAAACTTACCACTGCCCACCATGCCCATGGCAAAGATGGAGTTGTGGGAGACCTCGGGGTCAGCATCATGGGAAAACTTGCTGAGGGTGTCCAAGATGTTCAGACGCGGGTTAGACACAGAAATGAGCGCAAGGGCCAGGGGCACCGCTCGCCTCAAGGTGGGCTCACCGTAACGCAGCTGATAAAATGCAAAGAAAGAAAATGAAAGTTCATGACAGCATAAATCAGGAATATACAGGAACAAAAATGTGTTTCTAAATATATGAATTGCCTACTTAGGCTGTTGCACCCTTGTATACAAATGACAGAAAGGAACTTATGGGCTCAAAATGTGGTCATAAATATTTTGTACTTGTAAAAAAGATTTGTGTGTGCCTAAAAAAGATTTGTGTGTGCGTAAAACAGATTTGTGTGTGGACTTAGAAAAAAAAACCCTGCAGGTTACAAGTACGGATTTTGACCCTATTTTTCTTCCTTTCATCTGATTGGTCAATGTCATGTCAATCACAAATGTAACAATCCAATCAGAGAACAGATGGGTTTGGCTGTCGGAGGGGCACTTTTTTGAACTGCAGGTCTTTGAAGGGTGATACAGTTTGAAGCTGGAGGATCTCTATATAAATATCTGATAGCAGTTAGGTCCCCTTACTTTCAGCAGCTGTTGAAAGGAAAAAGTTGTGGTATATCAGTGGTTAGAAATACATTATTACTTTAGGATTAGTTTAACACAAAGTCAGGGCTGACCCAGGACCATTGCTGTGAGTCCCAGTGCGCAGCATAAAAGTCCTTTCACATCGGACGCAGGATGTGCTGCTAATGCTAATTGCTAACTAAAAGCCAAGGATCCAGAATTTGTTGCTGGCTGCTGGGCTCTGTGGGTTTTTGCAGCAGCTCTACCTGTACTAGATGCACCTGCTCCTTGTCTTTTCTAT